GTTCATATCTACAAGGGATGCTTTCTTTGTTGATGGAAAATTTGGAAAATTTCCCTAATTCAGCCTGATCTTCCTCACCTCCCTCTCCCCACAAGATCTACTGCTGAATRTCTGTTCAAATATTGATAATTTACAGAGTTCTTTCCTCCTCTCAAAGTTCTTTTTTCATTTCTCTGCCCTCTAGTGTGTTCCTGTGGAAAGCTACCCTCTGGGGAAACTTTGACAGCAAGATTCAAGCACAGTAATTAGGGAARTGGAAAGCAATAGCAGAGTATAAAACAGCACAGCAGGCATCAGGTCAAAGCCTGAAGACACATGCTTTTTTTCTTGCAATCACAAGAAAATAGCTTTTAAGTACAGAGCTGTCATTAAGGATTTGTAAAGGAAGAGCTTTTAGGCCCTGTTTGGTTTGGAATGAGGTGTTTATGACAAATCAGTTTACAAAACTTTTAATATATAAATTTTTCAATTAGTCTTAGTCCAAAAGGGAAACAGTGAGAGAGAGGAAGAAAGTGTGAAAGAAAAAGGAAATATTATGTTCCTGTAATTATGTTTCTCCGACTGGAGGATCATTTTGTCCTTTTTCAAGCAGGCTTGATCCTGAAAAATGACCCATCCACCTCATTTACCCAGGTGTAGGGAAGCCGTTCTTAGTATAGATAAGTAATTCACTACAGCATAATAAAAACACTTGCATTTTCATTTTAAACCCACATTACTGTGTCRTTGAGGAGCCAGAACCATATTTTCTCCCAGTGACAGTTACTTTGGGATTTAGATAGAAGACTTTTCATGCACTGACTGCATTACCTGTGAGCATGCTGTCCCTCCTCAGTGTGCGAGAGATTGTTTTCAGCAGGCACTGGATGTCTGCACTGGAGAGCTTCATCAGTCTCTGCAGGTCTGCTCCAGAGAGGTTTAAAATCTCTTTTACTGATTTTATGTCAGCTGAAATTAGAGGAATTTTTATAAATACTTTGGGCTGGATCACAGTCCTACCCAGAAGTTTTCCCAATTTCTACTTCTCAGTTACTTGAGGTTTATATACGCTGCATTCTTATAAGGTGGGCAGGTAACACTCACTTTGAACATACCAAYACAGGCTGTAAAATTGTTTGGAAAATGATTATTGAAGCATGGGCAAAACCCARCACTTCTGATTACTCCAAAATCTTCTTTATGAAATACTTAATTACAGTTTTAAKTGTCGCTCTGCAGGCTCATACCCACAAACACAATTATGTCAGGGATGTCACTATGGTGACAGATCTGTTAGTGARACACTGGAAAATTAAATTACCTTTTTTTAGAGCAGCAATTGTTTTAGGGTTCAAGTCAAACTGGTCCCAATCCATCTCCTGACACAGCACAGCAATGAGCAGCACATCCCGTAATTATATGTGATTAAAGTGGCTTTTATCACAGACAAATGCAAGAAAAAAAATAGGTATAAATCAGTGTCAAAAGTTTCCAAATAAAAAATAAAAAAATATTTTTAACAACATAGTTATCTTAGCGCAGTAACAATTCTTCTGGGATTATTGTTATGAGAATCATGGACATCATTATTATTTGATATATAGATATTATTTTATTAGGGGATGAGTTGGCCAGCAGGCTGAGGAMGGTGATCCTCTACTCAGCCTTAGTAAGGAAACACTTGGAGTGTTGTGTTCAGTTCTGGGCTCCCCAGTACCAGACGCACAAGGAACCACTGGAGAGGGTCCAGGTGAGGCCACAAAGGTGACGAAAGTTTGGAGTATCTCTGGAACATCATTGTATGAGACTGTGGGAGCTGGGCCTGTTTAGTCCAGAGARGACTCAGAGGGGATCTCATCAATGCATATCAGTATCTCAAAGGTGGGTGTCAGAGGATGCCAGACTCTTTTCAGTGGTGCCCAGAGACAGGACGAGGAGTAATGGCAATAAAATAAAACACAAGAAGTTTCATGTCAACACGAGGAAGAACTTACATTGAGGGTGGCAGAGCACTGGAACAGGCTGCCCATGGAGCCTCCCTCTTTGGGGATATTCCAAACCTAATCCAAATCTGGATGATCTTTGGACTGGATGATCTCCAGAGGTCTCTTCCAACCCTGACTATTCTGTAATTCAACCCTTTGGCAGAAGTTTTCTCTGATGGCTGTTTATATATATCCTATTAAAGAGGCCAGCTAATAATCCTGCAGTTAAGAACTACTAGTAATTTCAATGACCTGTAATTCCACATAGTGCTTGTGCTCTGGACTCAAGCTTAAATAAACTGGACAGTCATTTCAAGTCAGATTTTCATTTTCAAATATCAAAAAAAACCTCATACACAAGCACTTTGGGATGACCCAGGATTACTCATGCATTGGACAGACAAATACACATTTGTTTGCTGAAAACAAATTTAATATTAAATCATTAAAATCTGTTTGTTTCTTGTGRTGATATTAAACAGCTCTTTTAATACTTTGGCCCAAAACACAATAATTTAGCACTGTGGCTGCCTAGATAAGTACTATAAAGATTTTAGCATTATTCTRACACTCTTTATGAAAGATTGCAGCAGACAGCCAGAAGTTATGAGAATATATGACTTTATAAACAACCCCTTTTTCAACATGGGGAGGAAAAGTTGTCATGGATGCTGATCACAGATTAAGAGAGGCAACAGTTACTTTTAAACAACACCCATTTAAAGCAACATTTTAGAAGGTTTAGAAGCCGAGATTTACCAGAATCAATCATAATTGCGACGACCCTTGACTGAAGGGCTCCAAAACATTGCGCACCCTCCGCTCACAGGAAATCGCTCGACTGATGAGGCACAGGGGAGAGCGAAACAGCAGGAGCGGCTCACGGAGCAGTCGCAGGTGTCCCAMGGTCCCGGCACGGCCGGAGCGASAGSGGCGCACACACGGAAGGCCGAGCTCGGCRCCGCCACCGCGCCCTCAGCCCCTCACGAATCCCCCGCCGCCGCCGCAGCCAATCAGCGAACAGCTCGCCCGCCGCGGGCCAATCAGAACTCCCCCGAGCGACCGCCTCGGCGGGACAGCCAATGGTGGGGCGGTGCTCGGCGCGCGGGCGGAGCGCCGCTCTCTCCCTCCCGTGGGGCCGAGGGGGAGCGGCGGGGCTGAGGCTGAGSCGGGTCAGAGCCTCCCGCAGGCGCTGCGGCTGCAGGTCCCCGGCGGAGCCGCCTCTCGATGCCGCGGGGCCCGAGGCGCCCGCTCATGGGTCGGTCGTGCGCTTCCTTGAACGCGGAACTCGGGGGCGCGGCTGTGGCGCCCGCACCCTTCGCTTCCGGGTTGCSGGCAGGGAGGAGGGCGGGAATAACACGGCTGGGGACACGGGATTGGCTGGGAAGCCCTGAGCGGGTGGGCGGGGCTGAGGAATTGCTGCTTCCCATTGGTTGTTTGCCGTGCCCGTCCCGCAGGGTGGGGCTGCCATTGGTCGGCGCCGCGCCCGTCCCGTGGCGGCGGCGGCGCGCGGGGGAAGATGTCGGGCGGCGACGCGAAGAAGCTGGTGCGCTCCCCGAGCGGGCTGCGCATGGTGCCCGAGCACCGCGCCGCTCGCAGCCCCTTCGGCCTGGACGAGCCGCCCTGGGTGCCCGACAARGAGGTACCGCCGGGGCGGGGAGCGSMRCGCCTCCCTTTCCCCCTTTCCGCTTTCCTTTCCCCTTTCCTTTTCCCCATTCTCTTCGCTTTTTTATTTCCCGTAGATTAATGGATTAAAGGACGCAAAGAAAGGGCTGTCACTCGTTCTTCAGAAGTGTGCGGCTTAGTCGTGGAAATTTGTGTGATTTGCTGATTTAGAAGTGTAGCGAGCCGTGCAGCCTGGCTTTAAATGCTTTTAAAAATGTTGCTGAAGGCCGTGTAGGTTGAAAACTAATTGTATAAATTATTAAGGTAATAAAGCTGTGTTAGAATAGTCCTTCTGGCTCTTGGTGTGAGTGTTCGTATTGTTAAACAATCATTGAACAACTCAGTCTGTTTCAGTCAACTTTGCTTTTAAATAATTACCAAGTAACAACGCATCGTGATATTTTTAATTTCATGAAATGAGAGTTACTTGTTGCCAGTCCCTGCGGCCAGATGCTCATACAACATAGAATCCATTGTTTGTTTATTTATTTATTGCCAGCGTTCTGTGGTGTGGACACACGCCAGTGCATTTAAATGTGACCGGAATGAAGATTTATTTTAGATGAGCCAAAGTGAATTTAAGCCGGGAGTCATCCAACAAAGCCGTTCTTTGGCAGATTCGGACGTGGCTGGKCTGTTTTGTATGGGAACACCGAGTTCTCCCTTGGTTAGGAATGAGGAAGAAAGGTTTTTTTTCTACCTGGTATCTCTTGAGACAGCAAGTTCTGTGTGAAAGTAATAATAATTTTCGAGGCTTGCTCTGCCAGCACAGCTTCTGCTCAGTTGGCTCAGACCGACCTGTACTGCTGTAAAGGGTGGGAGTAGTCAGTAATTTGCTGGGTTTGTCCAAAACAACCCGGTTTTTTGGAAAGTGAGTATTCAGTTCATTCTAACAAGCAGTATCTTGTGGGAGTTTTCTTGAGTTACTCTCTTTATACATAAAAACCCCTCSCAGCCATGAGCAGCAGCTGTTTTGTGTCTCACACCAGGTGTGGGTAAGGTGAATTTTCCGAGGAGCCCTTGGAGTGTTTGAGGCCGAGCTGCTGCGGGGTCTGGGTGTGTCGCTTGTGGGCTCTGTGTTTATCTGCGAGCTCCCAGCAAAGTCCCAGCACTTCTTGGGCGAGTGGTTTCCCTTTGTGCTGCTTCTGCTGCATCCTGTCCACTCACCTGGAAACCTGATCCTGACATCATCTTCATCAGGGCATATCGTTTGTGCAACAGTTCAGTTTAAATTAGTTTTTTCCCTCACCTTCTGAAGTGCAGTTTACTATGTCAGTAGTCCTTGATTACMGCAAACTARTTKTATTAAGGAAAACAAAGTACCTCTAACTCAATTCTGATATGTACAACCATCTTAATTGCTCTGAAGATTGTTTGGGGATTGTCGTAGGGTTTGTTTAAACTAGTCAGATATATTTAGAGAATTAAGTGTGCGTATTTTAGATACATCAGTCTGATGTCCGTTGTTGGTTTCAATTTTSYATTACATTTGTATTGCAGGTATTCATTCTCCTTAAAATTCARCTTTTCCCCTATAGTCTGCTGGTCAGTAGATGSAGGGTATTAAATTGTGACTGAATGTGCTCAATGRTATTTGCTATTGAGARGAWGTGTGATAGRGAYARGTACTTTAAATGCATTTGTTAATACAAGATTCAGAATATGAATTCTTATTTTGTSGCTAGTAATTTTATRGRTTTYTGGWAGTATTTAAGAATTCTGACATCCCTTTGGTTAATTGCCAAATAGGYTACAGGCCTTTTCCTTAAATAAAACAGGTATGTGATACACAGGGAAGCTTAAAAACTCCATGKTTTTGTTAAGAAATTAAACTTGAAGAGACATTGTAACCTAGGTAGTGAATTAGTTGAGAGTGCTTGCTCTTGTTACTGTGTCAGACATAATTAAAAATGAAATGTCTGTGTCCAAGACAAGACCTTGAGTGGTATTAGCAAATGCTGATCTGGCTTTTCAAATCCATTGGCTTTTTCTGTGCCTCAAGTAACGCTCACAAATCCAGTAGCTTTATTTTTCTTATGCAAGAAGAGTCTACTGGCTTTTTTTTTAAAATTAAGGCCACCTAAGGATAATAGCAGTTTGTAGTTTTGTGAAGCTTATATRGCATTGAAATATAATTCAGTTTTTAATTTTTATGTCACAAGATTATACAGTCTTAAAAATATCAGTTACTATGAGGAATTTGAAATGGAAGGCTGTAGCAGGACTACTGCAAACCTCGCTTTTGAGAGTCTTATTTGTAACACAGATAATGAGTTGGGATGGATTTATGAAAATCGGTGCTAAGCATCATTAAATTTGAGACAGAACTTAAAATGGTCTCTGCATGTGCCTTGTCTGACTCAGAATTTCTTTGTTAATTGCCAGCAGAGCTTAATTGATGACATTTCTGTTAAGGAAATCTTAGATAGAAATTGAGTAAAATTTGGCAGTTTGCCTGCAGAGGTGGCCAAACCTCATGGCATCCAGCTGTGTGCCAGATGTTTCTGTGGCTGAGGAACAGTGTGTGCTGCAGAGGAGCTGACAGATGTGGTAAAAGGGGTTCYCTGGGGCTCCTCAGTGGCTGCAGGAGGGAACTGAGCTTTCCTTGGCTGTCTCCTCCCTTGGCTCAGGCTCTTGCTGGTTGTGTGGCAGAGCTGCCCTTGGACTGCTGGCARAAAATCCAGGCTCAGGCAGTGAACTGGCCTGGGCAGCTGCAGTGTCAGAGAGCACCATGAGCTCTCTGCCCTCTGTTTGCATCCTGCCCTTTCCCCTCTAGCCTTGGCTGCTGTGGCCAGGTGTGTTCCWGGTGGGATTTCCTGAAYGTTTTTGTTTGCAAAGGTTCCCTGTGTTAAGGAGCTCTGCCTGGTGTTCCCATCCATCACTTCTTGAATCACTCTTACTATTTATGCAAATAAAGCATGTGAAGTGTAACTATAGATTCCTGTCCATCGATGGGATTCCCASCTCTAGCTGGATCAGTGGGATTCTAGAAATCATTGTCACACTTGAGCAGCCCCCTGAGAAGTTCCATTCTGTTTGCAGTGAACCTGCTGTTGGTATTTTTAAATTAATGCCAAGATCTAACAGCTGTTGGATGTTCTTCCATTTTCCTCTTGCTRGATGAAGTAATCTGGTACTGGCATTGGTGGTTGACTGCACATGAAATGAATGTACTTGTGGCATGAATTCTTATTTAATTTCTTGCTTCACATCTTTTCATTTGAAGACACGAGAGGTAACTTGGACATTGTGCTTCCTTCTCTGTTGAAGTGATAAAACCCCTCCAAGCAATAAAGCTTAATTCAGTACTTGAATTATGTCACTGTACTTATGTCACTGAATTATACACTGTACTTATGTCACTGTATGGATGAGTAGGAAGAATTCACCTTTCAAGATGTTTTCAATAAATATCCCAGGCAAAGAAGAAGTGGATATTATGCAAATGGTTCACTTGATTCTGGTTACTTAAAGCCAAAATACTTCGAAGGAATAGTGTCTTGAGCCTGCTTGTGTCAGAACGTTTTCCTAGGAAAATCCCATTTTGTAATGCCAACTACCATGTGCAACTTGACTTACAATTTATTTAGGACTKCTCTTTGTATCAGGCAGGGCTGTCATTGTGGGTCTGGAATTCAGAAATACTTTTCTATGGTTTGTGTTAAATAAGAGGATGGATAATTTTGTTCCTTCCTAAAAAATACTATTATGTTTAGCATAGAACTCTGTATGAAATCTATGTAGCACAGTATTTAGAAGAGTTTGGGGTTTGTTTTYTTTCCCCCACTCTAGCTTGTGACTTGTGGTTTCTGCTTTTTGCAAACCCTGACCCCCCGCCCTTAAAAACCCAGCCTAGACCAACTAAAAAAACCCCACCACCACCAAAACCCAATGAAAAACTCCCACATTTTCATTAAGAAAATGAATTAGAACCCAGGTAACTGCTGAAATTGCTTCATAATGAACGTTATTTATCAGTGAGTGTTAAAAAAAAATGAGCTTCTCTGCAGGCACTSTGAAAAGATGTTTTTGGATGCCTTAGCTCAGTGTTATTTAAAACAATTCAGGAACACTTCTAAGTTCTCTTGTGTGGGATTTAGAAACAGCTTGTTGTAACAAATTCTGCAAGTAATAAAGCTTAATTCAGTAGGTGTTTCCGTTCCACTGCAGTGACTGCCATTACCCTCTAATGTGTTAAACGTCTGTTTAGACAGTAGAACATTTCATATAAACTATCGCCAATTATTAACAAGCTCACACTTCAAAAGGACATTAAAAGCTTCTGGAGAATTTTTAATTTAGCTGCTGTAGTATTTTCTTGGCTGCAGTTGTTGAACTTGTGACAGTGATTGAATATCTTCTGGAGCAAAAGTCCCTGAATAGCAGCTGTTGTAACCTGAGGGGAKGTATAGGAGAAAAAGGGTTAAGTWTTGAAATATGTTAATTAAAGGCAAAGGTTGATTACTGTGTGCTTAGCAAAGAGCACCTGCTCTGCTTAGGGCGTGTGTTTAAGGGGACATTTCTGCTGCAGTCTGAGATAGTCTGATTTAAGGAGTTGCAGTTTCTAGAGTTATAAATTTTACTACAGGACCTAACCATGTTCTCCTGATTAGGATGTCAAGCATAATTTTGCATTAATGTTTGCAAGTAAATATAGCAAAAATTGCATTAGAAGCCTCAGACACTGGGGTTTGATGTGTGAATAAAAATATGTAAAGTTTTGTTGAAAATCCAGCSATCTAAGGGCTGAGTATCAGCCCTTTGGTAGGTGACTTTTTGTAATGAAGATTTTGATTGTCCAACAGTGACTTCTGGTTGTTTACACAATCAAAATTGTCACCCCTTAAACTGTACTTAGTTGCAAGAGAGACTCCTTCAGTTTTTTCCTGGCATTTTTTTGAAAGAAGTGTGGGTGTAAGTTTGTTTTAGGAAAGAGATATTTCAGGAARTGACTTTTTGTAGCTGGAATAAACATTAGGTCCTGGTGGTTTGGAAGAAAACCAAGTATCTCTTAGCATGTTTCAAAAATGTGTGAGTATTGAGAGCATTAAAATGTGTAAACAATGTTTTAGATAGGCAGCAGAGGATCATAGTAGAAGGCAGTGAGGACAACTTACATAAAAGCAGTTGACTCTKGAATATAGGGCTGTCTGGATAGCCAAATATTACCAAACATGCTAAGTACTTGTGAGTTGTAGTTTTGCCTGCTGGCAGGATGCACTRTTCATTAAAAGGGAAGTTTGGCAGCTTTTTTTTTTTGTCTTACAAATGGGGATGATGTTATTTTTCTACAACAATATTAAATGAAAGCCATCTATGGTAAAAAGAAGAAGGATGGAAATTGGTTGGAGGTGTTTCTTTATAGGGCATAATAGAAAGTTCATTCATTGTATATGGTGGTAGAATTAAAGGTATAAAGAATTTGTAGATTAATCTTAAYTTGTACTGTTTTCTAGTGCCCAAGATGTATGCAGTGTGACACAAAATTTGACTTCATAACTAGAAAGGTAAGAAAACAATGAAATACTAAATACTAAGCAGTAATTGTTGTAAAATACTAATATGGACATATTTTGAAAAGTAAGCCAGGATTTATCTTGTGTTTGGAGGAGAATTTCCAATTATATAGCAAGTGTACACTACACAATTAGGCTCACTGAATGAAAACACTAACATTAAATTATGTTCATTAATGGTAAGAGGTGGAATGCATGTTGGTGTGCAGAATGTGACCTGGAGAATTCTGCGAAGCACCCTCTCAAAGAAGGCCAGCAGTGATTTTTAGGAAGGAATATYATTCCTTTGTATAATTACATTGACAGGCTTGAAGAAAGATATGGAAGTCTGACTTGTAGTGCAGTGACAMAGTTCATGTTTTTTAATTTAAATGTTTGGAGGGAGAGGGAAGGAGAAATTTTAAACCAGACACACTCATGTGTTATACCAGATGAGAAGCTGCTGTGTTTCACTTCTGTTAGCTTTGAGAAGCAATGGGAGATAGATACTCCAGAGAACTTTGCAGAACATTTGGARGGAAAGCCTAACACTGACCAAAACTGCAGTGTTATCAGTTCCTTTATCAAACTKTCAGGCTTGCTGTGAGCCACAAATCAGTTCCTGCTTGCCTGGGAATTCTTGTTCTGTCATGAGAAATTGCATCAGGAAGATCTGGCACTGTCACGCCCCAGCAGTGATCTGGAGCACAGGCCACTGGTTCACTGGGGCTGTGAAACACATTGCAATACTCATTCAGGTTTTGCAACTTCATTGCATTTGTACTGTGCTGCCTGATACTTTTGGTAAGAGGAATAGCTTTAGGTTCTGAGGATGAAGATTTTTATATTTTTTTCCTTGAGAGAAACTTGAGAATAAGTTTTTAAAAAGAAAAATGGTATCTTCATTTGAAGAAAAATAGAAACTTCGGTTGAATATCCCCAGGATCTTTGTGGGAGATCCTTCCCAGAAGTGGGAAGGAACCTGAAAACCATTCTTCTCTTGGGTTTTTATTGACAGTGAAGGATTTACTGGGCATCAGAGAAGCTCTTTCCTGTCTCTTCTGYTTCCGAAGTATCTTTACAGAGTGCCAGCAAAGGCTTAGAGTGCTGCTATTCATAGTATACTCAGTTCTTTATGTCCAGCCTTCAGAGATTCCTGTCTGCCACTGTGTCAGTTAATTTCCTTTACCTGTCCCTCAACTTGCACATTTCACACCTGAGAAACTGTTGTAATAACCTTACCGAATGATTCCTTACCAGTTTCCTTTTTAAATAAATAAAGAAAATGTTTTTTCCTGCTTAGCATCATTGCCGAAGGTGTGGGAAGTGTTTCTGTGACAARTGCTGCAGTAAAAAAGTGCCTCTGCCTCGCATGTGCTTCGTGGACCCCGTGCGCCAGTGTGCCGAGTGTGCCCTGGTCTCACAGAAAGAGACAGAGTTCTACGACAAACAGCTCAAAGTGCTCATGAATGGTAAGCACTGAATGCACAGATGTGCTGTTTCCATCTCATTTATATTTATTCAAATCTAATCAACAGCAGGAGTAATGTCTATTGTCCAAAAAGTTGCGTTTTTGTCTCCTTTTTTCAGTTAATAAGTCTGTGTTAATGGTCTGTTTAGAGAGAGGTTCACAATCCTTAGTCATGTTCATGCATCTCAGTTTGTAATTCTTTGTCTCTATAAAGAGTGATTTAATTAAAGGCAAATTTTTAGTGCCTGTAAGAACAGACGTGTGTGCAGTTGGTATTTTCTGTGAAATAATGCATCTTTTAGATATATTCCTGTTACATTAAATAAAGATGAAAAATGCTTTAGATAATAYTTTAATATTTTCAAACCAGATACAGTGCTTGTTTCAAGCTTCATCTGAGAGCTTTGATCGTGTCCATRGCCTACAGCTGTGGTTGATGTCAGGTCATCATGAGTACTCAGTTTTCCAAACCTACATGCAATACAGTAGTTCATGTTCCAGTTACATTAAGAAATCAGAATCTTCCATTTTTAAAATATTCTGTGATCCTTCAGTGCTTTTTGATGATCTCTCAGTATGATGTCAGTGTACATAATGGGTAAGCTAAGCCTCACATGTGATGGGCGTGGATGTTCCTGGGGAGGTCCTGGGTTTAGAAAGGAGTGTGTTCATCCCTGCAGCACATAAATCATTCTTCACTCTGCTTTGCCATCAGGGTGTAGACGAGTTTTTAAATCACATCTTTTAAACTGAAGAATTTTTTTTTAAGCTTGTCTTGTTTGCATTCMTGTTCTGAAGTTGTTCCTGGCTTGCTCTGTGGAGGCACAGCTTGTGGTCAGAGAGATGGTGATGGTGGATGTGATGTCCTCGTGCTGTGATGTCCCTGCCCAGTCTTGGTGCTGCTGTCTCTGTCTCACTTCAGCAGCAGGACAAGAGTCCGTGCTGGGGGTCAGGGAGCCTGGGTAAACTGTGGAGCCACGAGGTGCAACTCTGTGGGGCTGCATAGTTCAGGTTATGGGAAGAGACTGCAGACCATTTGGCAGGGCTGGGTGTTACTGCCTTCATTTCCCAGACCAGCACCACTGGGATTAGGTAATACAGGGAGTATGAGGCATGGAGCAAGTAAAGGGGTTCTGAGTCACCTCTCTARTGTAGCAACAGTGACTTTACCCATGTCAAAGCAGTTTTGAGGGGGAGGAAATACAGCATGAAGGCTGAAGTTCATTGACCTCACAATAAGACTGAGCCAGCTTTCAGTAATGAAAAAGAGATGTCTTACTGTTTCTTAAGCATAGAACTGAAGGTCATGTTCCACTATTAAATTGTTCTGACTTTTTTTTAATACTGAAATAATAATTTGTGTTACAGTGACCGCAGAGGGTCTTTAATTGCCTGTCTTTGCYCCCTCCAAATTTCTTCTCATTTTTAAAGGATTCCTCTTGGATATCTGCATCTCTACAAGTGGGAGAAATTGCATAGCATGTGTGAAAGGTCCTGTGAYTCAGAACATGATAATTAAAGATCAGGTTTTTACACTGAGTGTTCTACTGATGTTAATCAGTTAACATTTCAGTTATTCTCTTATTTCACTCAATTCAGTGTATTAGTAAGTAAAAGTCATTATTTCTGATACTTCAATGYTCCTTCTTGAATTCTGTAATTAGAGTACTAAAACATTTTTTTTCCAGGTGCTACATTCTTTGTAACTCTGGGAACATCTGATAAATCTGAGCTCATGGTTTGTCGACTTTCCAACAACCAGAGGTGAGAAAGATTGGTAGAAATTCCACTCATAAACTATAATATTGTTGCATTCACAGTTTTATTTTTACATAATAACCTAAAAAAAAAGAAGAGCAACATGCCTTGAGGATATTGGAGAGAGTAATCAGACTGGAAGAATAGATCCAACAATACTGGAACGTTTGTTTGAATTTATTAGCAATGTGGATTAGAATGTCTCGGAAGGGTGGGACTTCAGTGAAAAGTAGTATTTTCTGGTTGATTGCTCTCCTTCCTCACCCCAAAGAACACATAAACAGCATCACTCAGAGATTGTTTTAATTTTTGCCTTTGATTTGGACTTGATATTGTAGAAAAATAAATTGAAAAAAGTTTTCTTCTATTATCTAGATACCTGGTTTTGGATGGAGACAGCCACTATGAAATTGAAATTACACAGATTTCAACTGTTCAGATACTTACAGAGGGATTTACTCCTGGAGGTAATTTTTTTATTTAATACAAATGAACTATTAAGAAAAAAAAGTGAAGTTGTAATTATTGTTTGACGTAGACAGTGTATTCAGTGTAACTGTATTAGTTACAACTCAGAATAGAGCAGAGTGTGTGAAACTCTGGGATTTGGGGGAACACCTAAAGAGTGGGCAGCCCTTACAGCCTTAATGTGGGAGAGCCTCTTGATAAACATCAGTAAGGGTGGTCATCATCTCTTCCCTTGGGTAAATACAAATGTTTACTGATTTAAAAGCTCATAGAAGAGAAATGTTAGYCTTGGGTTGCTTCCATTTCAGAATTCAGCTGGGATTTTGCCTTGACTGGTACAAACATGGGTAACAGAATGAAGTGGGGGTGGKAATAAATAATTAAACTGTGCTTTCTTAATTTCATTCAAGATGAAGGGGTGGCCACATGAAACTGGTAAAATCTAAACTGGAGTGCAGCTACTTACTGCCCCATCTCTTACCAGATTTTAGAATATTTCAGGATSAACCTGAATATGATTTGACTGAAATGAGAACAAACAAGGTCAGGAATTTCAATATTTGTTCTTTATCAACACTTCTGTCACTGCTGGATTTTTCTAATTGCACAGCCCATCTGTGCAATATTCAGTCAGTACAGCATGTTAACTTGAATAAACTTACCTTGGTATTCAAATCAACCAGATGTATTGCTGAGTCACTTAATGCTCCTGTAATTCCATGTTCACTGCTCTTCTGACTGCTTTATCTCTTTTCTGCCTGCCTTCCTTCTTGATGGTAGAAAAAGATATTCACACTTACACCAGCCTTCTGGAGAGCCAGCCTGTTACTGAAGGTATCACCAGTGCCTTTGAGCATGACTCACCCAAGCATGTCATGACCCCCTCACATTTTTCTTCTCTGCAGTGCTGTTTATTTGCTTGATCCATAAATGTTGTTCATCCTGAGTTACGTTCAAGTCTGACATGTATCTGTTCCTTCCCATGTTCARTAAACCAAGAGTGAATGTTTTGTAACACTCTGAAAGAACTGAGGTACTCAAGGCCACCTTTAGAGCAAAGTGCTGTTGTCCATGCTTGGAGAAGGGAAGATGAGGAATGGTGTTGGCAGTGATACACAGTGTCACAAATCGCCTGCTTCAGCAGGTTGTGGAATTGGGTGTAGCAGAAATGAATACACACTCTGTGTGCTGTCCAGAGAGTGCACTGAAACAGTTAATTAAAGGCTTTCTTCTAAACAACTTTAAAAGAAAAGCCTCTTCTTTATGCAAGCTGTGTTCTGCCTGACTCAGTGCTGTCAGACATTGGTGAACTGGTCAAGGCTGTAGGTCTTTGATTTTCACTGGTTTATCACAGGTTTAGTAGACTCTTAATCCATTATTCTGACTGGAGGTGCAGGGAAGTGATTGTTGAATTTCCATGTATCGTAGGAGAGTAGAAAATAGCTTTTTAATGAACCCTGCTGTGGGCTTTTGATCGAGTTAGGTGCACCTAACAGCACTAACCAGATTGAATTTRGCTTAAGATTGTGATTTGTTTGGGCTCCTCAGATATTGCAGTAACAGCCTCCAGGAGCCCTCTCATGCAGACACYTTTTAAAAGAGCTTTGAAAAAAGTGTCCTGTGTATGCTGGTGCTGGTCTTGGGGCTTAGTTTATGCTCCAATGCTGCAGGAAGTAAYGACAATAACATTATCATTCTAAAAGTTGTTTTTTAATGTCTCTATTTTTGCTTTGGTTTATCTTCATGTCTGCAGCCTGAGTAAGAGAGGTACAAACACTGTTGTCAGAGTATTGTCTGTTGTACCAATTTCCTTCAGGAAGTAAGTGATGTTGCCAGCTGTTCTCTAGCCTTACGTAAGCATCCTTTGGCAGGTTTGGAGGGACTGCTGCCTGCTGTATCCAGCAGGATCCTGCTTTGCCATCAGTCTCATCACACACKAAGCCTACAGACAGCAGTATGAAACTGTGCTATCAATGCCTTAACATGGTGATAGTTATGAGGGTGTTCTAGGTGTGTGTGGCTTTACCTGGTGGCTGATGCAGRTTCTGTCTTGGTGCTTGGCAGAGAGAATTAAACAATACTGAGGCTGCAGGTTCCTCAGTACTGCCTGRCACTTTGAGCCATGGTCACAAGCTCCTTGGATCCAGCAGCTGCTCRTGCTCTCAACTGAGCAATGAGCACGTTCCTGCAAACATGCTCATGAGCCGGAAGTTGTGTCACTTGGCTGCCAAAACCTGCTGCTGTTCCAATGTTATTTCTCTTTTCAGGAGGCAATACTCGTGCCATAGGTATGATTCTGCAGTACAAGGTACCTGGGTCGGAGGAGGTGATGCAGATGAAGTTTACTGCCAGTGAAGACATCAGCTGTAACAAGAAGCTGTCAGCAAGCTGGCTGGCAGCTATGCATAAGGTAAGCAAAGCAGCCAAAACTTAGACAAGGCTGAAAAAAATTTGTGGGGTGGGGTGTTTAATAGCACCAAAGAGAGCATTCAGCCTTAGGACTATTTCTATTAATTTTTGTTAAAGACTTGTTGCTTAGAAAACAGAAACTATGTGTGCTTGTAATGAACATGACTTTAGCTTTATGCTCAGAGACCTGAAGAATTTATGCATTCCRAAGGGTTTCCCAAGATCTTACGGATGTTATTAGATGGAAAAAACTAGGAATTTAACTCCAAACTTCCTCAGGTGTTTGTTACTGGCTGAAGAATGYGCATTATGAAATACACTTTTGAACCTGAGTTGAGCTAATTCTTTTTACTACTTCGTGACAGTTCAGAGAAGTTGTTGTATTTGGAAAGAGAAGACTTCAGTCTTTTGGTGCTAGGCCCTGTAGGGGTAATTAAACTGAACGTTTATATGAAACTGAACGTTTATATTTACTAAGTGGAAAAAAACAAAGACCCACTCTAATCATTCACCTGATCAATTGCTGATCAGAACTGTGATTTACAATGTGCCTGCATGGGCAGGTTTATGGTTCTTTGCTGCTATTTTGGAGCTCCACAGCTGYCCCTACCCCCAACACTTAAGTCTGTTCAGCACAGTGTGCTCCAACTTYGTATTGCCATGTGAGTGCATTCAGCACTTCCTGAATGTTAGTACATGCCTCAGATGGAAGAAAATARGAGAATTTAAAGCCCTAGATTTAAAGGAGGTTTTCAGATGTATATGAAGCAGGTAAGATGGCTGCAAGTGAATTTTGAATTAATATTGACATTTTGCCTTTCTGTTAGGCAACAAAACTGCTCTATGAGTCTCGGGACCAGTGAGAACTGCAGATGTGGCCTCCTGAGGGCACACAGACACCAGCCTCCACAGATCTGCCTCTCACTTTGTGCTGATTTGACAGCTGGAAATATTTGCTGTTCTTGACTCTCATTCCAGTGTGGTTCATTATGTAAGAACTAGCAAATGCAATGTGAGTATTTTTTTGAACCATGAGTATTCACGGTAGTGTGCAATATGTATACAGTTAATGCTTTAAACAGCCTCACCTTTTAAGACTTTTGTATATTTTGTTAAGCCTTTATTGGCACTTAATATGAAAGTGACCTGCACTACAGCTAATGTACAGCACAACTTTTATAGTAACCATTATATATACTGTTTGCTACAGGAAGCAAACAAATGTGTATATCTCTTCTGCAGAGAATAGCTTTTGGGTATAGATCTCAGGTTTTTCCCTTTATCCAAATGTTTAAAATCAATGTACAAAAAAAATCTGCCTTAGATATGATTTTGTAGAAATCACGTGGGTTTTTTTAAACATTTCATTTTAAACATCTTAAATATTTCACCAAATAGYACCAAATTTGACTTACATGAACTTGACCTTGAAATTTTCACTTCTGTAATAAGCTTCCAGAATAATTTTTAGTTTTGTATTTTCTTTTTTGGTAACTAGCTTTTGTTAATCTAACTGTAATGCTCTCTGAACTTGTATACAATTTAATGTAAAAATATGAATAAATTAATTCACTTATTTAAAAAATGAGGTGTTATTATATTTTTTAATATACAACTTCTTTAGTGATGGACATCATGGTCTYTGGACTCTTAAAACTTTGACTTTTTCTAAGGAGCACCCAAATTTAATTTCTAAGTTAATTTCTCACAGTTGGAATAGTGGGATACTGGTGTAAGCAGTTTCCAAAAGTGGCACATCTTCAGTGAAGCTGATAAAAAATGGAGCAAAGGTGGCAGCGTTGATAGGTGGGACCTGGTAAGTTAAATTTTTTTTTTCATGCAGACTGACCACAGCCACATCTGCTGTTGAGACCTCTATGAAGAGAGTGGAGAATGCAGCCATGCCTTAGCAGTACTTTATTGTGCACATTTACATGTTCTCTGAATTAGTGTATCATAGGCTCTTGAAATCATCACATTCATGTAGCAAATTCTTCAACAATAATACCCTTTCACTTTTCACCACAATATATACAGTTAATGCTGACCTGTGGTAAAAGCAAGTTACAGCACTGCAGAAATGGATATATAAATTATACACAGAACTTGTACATGAAGAGTTAATCAAATTGCATACTGTTAAATGGGAGAAAAATTACAAGAAATATGGCTAAAACTTATAATGGGAAATTCAAAATATACTTTTGGTATATAAAATCATGTACAATTAAAATTCCAGTGAAGTGCCTGTTTGTGGGGTTGTTTTTTTTTGCTTGAAACTACCATGTAGTGGAACAGGTTATTGCATAACTTGCCTTGGCAGCAGGWGTGGGCTGCCAAGAACCACAGAAACTGTCCTCAAATAAGCTATTGCCTTTCTTAAATCCTTCTCTAAACCTTGTTTCTTTCTTCTCCTCGACTTGGCATCTACACGATCCTTTCTACATCTATCCAGTCCTTCATATTTTCTTCTAGACTGACTCAGGCAGACTTCAGGTGACACAGTATATATAACCCTTACCAGACTCTTACCCTTTTCAACTATTGCACTTTCATCCCTGCAGACATACAAATCCCTTAGGCTGCTGCAACTTCAGTACTAACTGTTGTGTCCAGGCTGGACAAGCTCRGGGGAATTAGTAGGGGAACCTTTACATTCGTAGAGGTAACACCGGTGCTGTAGGCTGAATAATAAGAAAATAAAACACCAAGTGAAATATTGTGTAGGGACTTCGAGAAGTGTACAAATACTGTTGGTTTTGTTAGTTCTCTAGCTTGATTCTAAATGCAAATAATGCAAGATGCTAGACTAGGTAAAGCTTTTGTTGGGGTTGTCCAGACTAGGATTTAAGTGTTTAGCATGGTGCCACCTAAAATCCTAGCCTTCACCAAGCTTTGGTAACTACTTAATTATGCATGTAACAGGTGAAGATCTCGTGTCCTAGAACCCAAAGAGCTGATCAGTAATGAGAACTCAACATTCACTGGTATTGAACAAAAATACCCAAAATCCTGCCATGGGACAGTTGCTGTGGGGGGGTTGGAGCAAACTGGACAGCGCATCTGCACCCTGCAAATGACACCTCTGAACATGGAACACAAGAAAGCTCCTACCACGGAACTCTGACTCGAAACACTGCRTTAGACGAGAGTTGGTGCAACACTGTCAGTAGTGGAGGTATCGCTCTCCTCATCAGTGCTGGGTCACACAGAAACGATCCTCATTTACAAACTGCAGATCTTGGAAATCGTGGATGCTGTCCATTTAACAAGAGAAAGCACCATTAAAACTAATTATCATAGTTTTATTTCTCTGTGTGAAATGATCAAAAATGATGGCTCCAGTGTATGTTCTAAGTTTCCAGTTACCAGCATGGTACTGCACTGTCGTACAACTGAATTCAAGCAAGGGTTCGCTGTCGAGGTTTGATTCGTGGATATAACTAAAAAAAGAGAATATAACAGTATTAGGTTTTGCATGGTTAATACTAACTTCAATAATTTATAACTAACTTCATAATTTATAACTAAGGGATTATAACTGATTAGGCAGAACTGGGTGATGTAGTATTTTGGGGATGTTCTTAGGCAACCTCTGAAAAACAAGAAGCAGGATGAAAAGGGCTGATTTACTCCTGCCAATGGCAGCAACATGGCTGCTCTGAAAATGACGTGGTGCATTTAGCTCAAGATCCAGAATAGACAAAGGATGCTTTTACGTAAGTACAAAAATTCCCTGTTGAGCACTCAAGAGAGCCTATTTCCTGCTCTGCAAGGTTCTCTTATGCATTTTGTCCTCAGTAGCTCTCTACTTAGTCACCTTACATTCCTGGCCTCTCCWGACAACAGTGTTCCATCTGTCTGAGAGCAGCATAAATGATGTGCCCACAACTGTCATCTTCAAGACTCTTTTCTGTTATAAACTCAGACATACCTATGTTCTTATACTGTGCCAGGTATTAAAAACCTTCCCACAGAACATTCTGGGACAAGGCTTCAAGCTGCCTCATAGAGCCACCATGTTTTCCATAAGGGCTCTGTATTTTAGCCAAATCTTACTAAAGAATAAAGCATAAACTGTCTTAAATATATTAAATATACTAACTTGCCCAATGAGAACCTGCACTAATCTCTAACAGTAGCTGCTCCTGTTTAAAATGGCACAGAGGGCAGAGAGAATAAGGATATTTTGCTTTACAGCACTTTATAGTGCTGTGTCTGGATGGTGCACAGAGGGATTCTGACCAAAGATCCATCTTGTGTTCCTTCTGCAGGTGCATGTGAAAAATAGAAGGGAGTGGAGGGTAACTGAGACAGAGCTTACCCCGAGGAGGTTTTTAGGCACATAGCCTTCCTTGTCRTTGAGGCGGGCCCACCACCACTCTGTTTCGTTGTCATCCTTGCGCCTCAGAATGGTGATGGCATCGCCCTCATGGAATGACAGCTCGTCATTGTTCTGGGCTTCATAATCCCACAGAGCGTACACCACCCCTTTGTTCATCACTCCCAGCTTCTCCTGCACTCCTGTTAACAACACCAGATGGTAAAATAGCCTCTTTTTCCCCTCTGAGATTTGTACTGTTGACACAGTATGGCCCAAATATTAGTCTCTTGTTAATAAYATTCCATGAACAGTTTTCAGCACTTCCAAGATGAAATGCTGTCAGAAATTTAACTGCATGATAAAACCCAATCTTTCAGAGTATTTACAGCATGAGGTTTTTCTCTTTATTATAGATGCAATGGAAACTGCTTCCTACAGCAGGCCTATGACAGGGACACTTGAGGCTTTTGGAACTCACACAACATCAGATACACAGAGCTGTAATGAAGCTGAAATCCTCTGATAGAAATAAAAAATATGTCTGCTTCATCAAGGTGCTTTTCTTGCAAAATATATCTTAGTAACTAAGCACATTCTGTAAGTTAATTATTCATAATGTGTACTTCTTTCTTTGTGTGATCTGTTAGAAATTTGTGCATCTGGAAGTTGGGAGTCTCTCTGTCAAAATACTTGACAACTCACTGTCACTGTCAAAACCTTCCTGTAGAAGCATTTCCTTGAAATAWAGCCAAATTAAAACTTTAAAAATCCTAACATTTGAAGGAGCCTGTGAAACATTTCAAAAACCAGAAAGACTAAGACCAACATCACAGTGAAAAGATGATTCTGGTTTTATCACTTTGAAAGCACATGGACATGAWGGGCCATATCATCCAGTCTGGGGCCTAAGCAGATGTTTCACAGAGATCGGAGGGACAAATCAGGATGAATGTTAGGAAAAGTTAAAGAGCTTGTAAGGCAGTGTCACAGCTTACCATACAAAAACTGGGAACACTGAATATAACCTTCTTCCATCTCCTCACACTTGTCTGCAGCAGTTTCTATATCGCTTATAGTTGAWGCAAAAATAGCTGCCCCAGATTCAACCAGTAGTTTACAGAGATGAACACTATTGCAAGAAGCCGCACAATGCAAGGGTGTCCTGAAATAAAGTAAAAAAATATGCATGCGAAAAAATAAGCTTCCATCAATCCTAACTTTTGTCTTGCCATCTAGAGCCTGTTTATTTTAAGAGAAAATTGTTCTTTATGCTTATAGTATGCRTATGCATTGTCCAAAACCTGTTAAGCAGCTGGGGTGGATTTCAGGATTTATCTGACTCAGTAAAGCCAAGCATTATAAAACAGGTGATAGCAAAACTAATAATTTTCACAGCTTACAAAGCTGTTGGGTGTAAAAGAATGTYTTCCAAAACAAGGAAACCTGAAAGGTAAAACAAAGGTGAGGATTCACATTCCCCCCCTCCCCCAACACTTGAGGAATGTTACAGCTACCCACAAAGAAAGAGTACTCAAGAACATCATCTGTGGTGGGATTTATGATGATGAAACTTAACAAATGACAGAAGTTCATTTGCTTATCTACAGCTTAATTATTTCAGTATCTGAACAAGAATTGCAGCTCTACCACTAATTAAAGCCAAACTGGAATTTAATTTATGGTTAAGTGTGTTTGCTTGGGAGCTGAACACACTGTAAGCTTGCATGTGCATTCATATCTACCTAGAGCTTAGAGAATGCTCATTTGCTGGGGATAAAGGGAAAGGAAATGGTTCCCAAAACAGGTCCCAACTAAGTTTTGAATGTGCATCTGAACAGTGTTTCTCCCAGATACTAAAAAAAAATTCTTGACACTTACCAGCCATCACTATCTGCTGCATTTACATTTACWCCAAAATCGAGTAGGAACTTCACAATGTGGTGATGACCAGCACACACTGCATTATGCAAAGGTGTAATTCCTTCATCATTTGGCTTACTGGGATCATCAACCTGTTGAAAAYATAAAATAGTTCAGCACTTTCTTTTCCCTGAATACTGAACAATGTTGCCATTATTTAATAGCTTACCTCATATATAATTCGTTGTACCAAATCAAATTCCCCCTCCAAAGAAGCATCTAGGAGGAGAGCCAAGGGATTGAACTTCACTCTCAAACCATGGCCTGTTCTTTCTGAATTGGGTTTCTTCAAGTTGGTACGTTTTGTCTGAGTAGAGATGAAGGTTGGAAGGCATAATTTTAGGTTGTACAAGTATAAAGATGATTCACTTATAAATCTCATCTTCCTTAAATGATATTTAGAACTATGCAACCATTTATAAGTCTCTAAGTAAAAGGCTTGATATACTATTACACTTTATGCAGTTAAAAATGAAGAAGCAAGCCAATATAGTTTCAAAGCTTCTAATTAAAGATAGTGTGTACAAAGAATGAAGTACTTAAGTCAGTGTTTTAAGCATAATCTTCTTAATTGTATCTAATATAAACTGTGGATCTAATRTTACTGGTGAATTATCTGAGACACTGTGAAAWCTTTTGCTTAGCCTGGAAAGCACCACATAATTAAGCCAGAGTCTATACTTARAGGAATCAATGCCTTGAATTAGCAKAAGTCTCTGCTGTAGGTCAGGCYTGACAAGTTGGGRATTTTATTRTAGGAWYGAAAAGTACAGATCATGAAGTTATTYTACGTGACATTCTAGCAGGTGTTATCAGAAACAGCATTTTCAAGATSTGAAGCACATTTAAATGTGTTTTGAGAATATTTTGAATCCCTTATATGTGTCCTTGTCACTTTCTGAGGAAAATGTAATCTATTATTAACTACAGCTTTTATGGRATGTTTTTAGTCTCTAGCTCTGTAAGATCTGTTTTCACTTAYAGTCCTATATAGTATGGCTATTTCAGTTTGGAAAATAAACCCTTCACAGTATGAATAATATTAGTTGCTAGTGTATTCCATTCTCCCACAAGTATCCTGGCCCATATGCTCATGGAAAACCCCATCAAGCCTTATGCACACCACAGTCACAGAGGAAGGTTCCTACCTGAATCAAAAAGTGGAGATGAACCTTGGTTTCAAAGAGTGAGTGATATCACAACAACAAAGAATAAAATCCATTTTTTTCTGTATTTTTCAATTCTCCAAATGTGGTACATTTTGGTAATGGCAAGTTTTTAAAAGATTTTTGTGCAGCTGGAGGACGGACTTTGGAAGCAATTCAAGCTATGCAACAAGCCCATTAGAAGAACATTTTTGCTATCACAAGCCAGCTGTGCTGCTGCTGGAGTTAGCCCTGGTCTATCTCTCTGCTGAGAGGGTAAAAGGAGTGCATTTTCCCCTGAMCAGCTATTTCAGCTCACCTGCAAATTAAAAAGCTTCCCACTGACATAGCTTACCCTTAGTTTCCCACAAATAGTTATCTTTCAAGGCCTGGACAAATTATTAAAAAAAATAAAAATTAATGGAATCTCAAATTCCAGAATTAGTTCTACAACAAGAACATTCAAAAAGTTGCAAAGTCTAAAAAACGTCCTGTTACCTGTTCACATATTTTCCTTATTAATCAGCTACAGTAGTAAAGAAACTTATCAATCCATTAGAATTCTCCCTGGAACTCCCCTGATTTTCTTTTCTTTTAGTATCATGAGACTTCAAGTGCAAAGACACCACAGAGCAGAAGCTTATATTGCAGTTATGCTTAACACACAGCCAACTCTGTCATTCACAAACCTGTTCTTAAGCTTTATTACT